GGACTTGCTTCCGATGTTCGCTTTGGGCGCTATACTGTTCCGAGCTGCTTGCCTTTGCCACGTGTCGGGCGATCGCGAGGGCGGGCCAAATTTCCCTTCATCAATTCCATTTTTCCAGATTGGACTTTAGTTTCAAAAAGGAATAACATATCAGGGGAACTATTCTTAACAAAGTTCAAGAAATTTAAGTTAAAAGATTTCCTGCAGATACCACAACAGTTCCAACACAAAAGCAGACATGCCAGTGTTTTTGGTGTTGAAATGGATTACCTCTTTGGAGTCCTCTCGAGAGTTTGCATTGGAACGCCTTCTATGATTATGGATTTAATGGTATGAGGGCTTCTTGAGTGATGGGGGTGTCATGATTCAAAGCCGCCAAATGAGGGCTTCTTGGGCCTAGACTCCTAGAGTTGGTAGATCTGCCAAGGTCCCAGGCCCTAAGGTTTCTCCCCTCTCCTAGTGACGGTTACCCCAATCATCTCGCATGAGGTTTCTCCCTCTTCTTCTATCTTCCTCCTCTTGCCGGTGATGAGCTTGTTCATGCTGGATAAACTCACCAAAGTCCGGAAGACGCCAGTCGGCTCTCAAGGATGTTTCAACCTTAATCCAGGGCCCTGAGATGGGAAATTCATGGGCCGCAAAACGAAGAAATTTTCATGGTTGGCCGGGTGATAGCTTGCATGGGTGCAACGGCAATGGCCATGATCAACACGACCACAGAGGTAACAAACACCAGGGAGACTCTCATAACGATAAATGGTCCATATTGTTGGAGTAACAAAACCACCAACCTTTCAGACAGAGGTAGTTGTCATGGATCTCCACAGCTTTACAATCAAGATAAGCAACACCTATCTGTTGAGCTCTTTCTATGTTTATCATTTCAAAGGGGAGACTGGACTTGCATCCAAACCTCAGCCTTTGTGATGACCGAATCCCTCTGGTCTCTTCTTTCCCTCCATTCGTCTAGCATGAGCCATTGGCCAAAAACATACCAGAGTCCATTATTCCTAACATTATCGTAGTCGTCCTGGTATCTGAACGTAAACCTGTAGTAGCCTCTACTTAAGGGTTGCACCATTAGACTACTTTCATTTACCCCCCAACTTCCGTGAACTCTATTGATGAGGTCATGCATGGGTATGGTGGCTCTAGGAAAAACTCTCCCTATCATGCACAAATGCCAGATGCTTCTGGTTTCCTCTGTTATACTTCTGGAAAAGTCAAAGATGTCTACATTCTGGCTATCATTGCATTGGAGGAGTTGAGAAAAGGCAGAATCAAGATTCTGATAGTCCTCATTTCCTCCCTCATTATGTTTTTGGTTCTCTGGATTCATCCTAAAGGGTGAGAAGAAGGTTAGAAAAACTTTTAAGAAGAGAAACAAAACCCTCAAAAGAGGTAAGAAAACCCAAAATGGGTAGAGATGACAAATCTGATGAAGACGAACAACAACAAACGAGAAAGAGAGGGAAGAGAGAACTTCCTACAAACTTCCTATCAATATAGGCCATGTTCTAGAGTGAAGGTTAGGAACTAAACAAAGGCAGTGGCGTAGGAAGAAATTTAATTTTTTTACAATTGCCCGGTTGCCCCCAGTCAAATGAAATAGCAAGGGGTCAAATAAAATTTGATTTCTTAAATTAGGCCCTTTTGTTTTCATGATTCTAAAAGGCCTAAACTAAAGGTGTGCCCCCACTGATCAAATGTCATTGATCTGCCACTGAAAAAAGGGAGATGGTTGACATGCATTTAATACTTGGTTTTCGGACTAAAATCTAGGGCAAGATACGTCATTATTACCACCTAAGGGCTAAAAACTGACAGGGAAAAGAATTAAAAGGAACCTACGTAAAACTTAAAAGCCATCAGAGATAAGAAATGCAGAAGATCAGGAGGATACTCGCTTTCCTGGTTCTGAATTTCTGATTTCTCCGAGGAATCATTGCTTGAATGCTTCCAGAAACGTGCACCTTTTACATCAGCTTGTTTGCAACGATCTCTTGCATTCCAGAAGCTGCTGTCATTCACCTTCTGGACGAGCGTCGACAAGAACTCTTAAGAAGCAGTCTGAAGAAGCATCTCTCAATCACCTTTTTTACACTCATTCTACCTTGGCTCTGCTAAATAGAGCATCTCTCATTCCCACTAACAAGGTTGAAAATCATAAGTGGGTTCTGGCCTTCGTGGGTTTAGTCAATGTCATACCTTACCTGGGTGGCTGGGTCATTTTACAGCGTAAAAGAACACGGGAAGCACACTTACCCGGGCAAGTGTAGTCCCCAATTTATATGGAGAGAGAATAATTGATTCTTAAGCCCTCTTACAAACCCAACCCATTAATCCAAATATTAGGCATTTAGGCAATAGGGCTCAGGTTAGCCAGATTTCATCTACGCTGTACCTCAATTAATTTCAGATTCAATAGACGTATCAGTTTAAAACAAAGCCCCCCTCCTCCTGGCCCAGAGAGTGAGAGAGATGTTAGAAACATGGACTGTTTGTCAAAGAAAATGATTTAGATATTTTTGTTTCATCACCATAGACAAATTCTGAATACTTACTAACCATTATACAAGCAAACTGCATGCTACCATTACAAAATCAAGCCTTACATATTTACATACATGTTTACAGAAACATAGAGAAATGTTGATGTCGGTCCAAGTCAAGATGTTCTCCAAGCTTGGATGGATTTTCATGAATTCCTGATAGCCGATTTGTGAGGTTTCAGTATGCAGAGATCGTCTACAAAAGGAGAATACATATGGAGTTAAAAGACAGAAAAATAATGACATGGAGATAATAACAAGAGAATTGCTACTTCCATGTTGAAATCTACAACAACAATCAGGTAGCATGATATTTTTCATTATGTCAATGATAAGGCAACCCTGTCTACCAAATAGAAACTACATGGTACTCAGATTGTCTGGAAGCAAAACTGATGCGACCGGTTCCGGTCACATCATTTTTTTCGTGATGTGTCAATTTTTTGGCTAAGTACCTCGTCATCTTGTCTGCTCCCAGTGGCCTGTGACTCAGGGGCAGAAGTGGAGCTCCCTGGTGACGAGCCGCCTGGTGGCGAGCTACCTTGATGAGCTGCTTAGAGGTGAGCTACCTTGATGAGCTGCCTGGTGGTGAACCACCTTGATGAGCTGCTTGGAGGTGAGCTACCTTGAGCTTTGTTGCTCTTTTAGAGGCCTGTAAGGAACCAAATGTCAAAGGACCCGGGGTGGCTAACCCAGCGAGGTCACTCTGATGGCTAAGTTAGCACTTAGTAAAGAGCTTGAAGAATTATATTAGAGAATGAGAGAGCTAGAGAGCAGGGGTTACCACCTCTTCCTTCAGCCTCTTTTCGCATACCTTTGCCCCTGGGGGGTGAGGTCTTTATATACTGGAATCCTCATGGGCTAGGTGGAGCAGTTCCTGGATCCCAACTGCGATGGGATTGGCTTGCGTGTTAGGTGGGTGAAATGCCATCAAACGGTAAAACTGTCCCTTCTCGTCAAAACCGGGGAGTGGGTGAGCTAATATTCTGTTACAAGTCACAATCCCGTAAAATGTGGGGTACGGTGGTGAGCTCCTCGCGATTGTCAGGTTGGCGCTTGTGTCAGGCCGCCAGGTCGCGTCAGGGCCAGGCTGCCAGCTCGTGCCAGGGCCAGGCCGCCAGCTCGTGCCAGGGCCAGGCTGCCAGGTCGTGCCAAGGCCAGGCCGCGCCAGGGCCAGGCTGCCAGCTCGCGCTTGTGCCAGGTTGCCTGGTGGGACACCATCAACTTAGCAAAGGCAAGTTGTTGTCCGGGTGTCACCTAGTCGTTCTGAGGTGCCAGGCTACACAATGGCGAGCTGCCTAGTGGCGAGCTGCCTGTGTGTTGCATGTAGCGAGCTGCCTGTGAGTGTTGCATGATGGCGAGTTGCCTAGTGGCGAGCTGCCTGTGAGTGCTGCACTTAGTTGGCATGAGGTGCCAGGTGTCACAATGTCATTGGAGGGCCAAACCCGTCCTCATCATTTGCCCCCCACTCCCGAGATGAAAGCAACTCGGTGAAGGGAGTAGATTTCTCCTTTTGGCCCATAATTCAACGAGCTCATAAGCGCTGATTCAGTTTCTTAAGTTCTGGGAGCTGCTTGGAAGCGAGCTGCTCGTAAGGTGCTGAGGTCTCTGCCGGTTCGGTACTTTAGCCCTTAGGCTTTGGGAGCGACTTGTAGTCCACTCTCCTTGACTTTGCCCATGCCGACGAGGCGGCTGGGTCTTGTGCAGTATTGTTGCCCATGCCGTAGAGGCGACTGGGTCTTTCAGCAGTAGTGTGGTCCTTAGGCTTCGGGAAGCGACTCGTAGTCCACTCCTGAACTTTGCCCATGCCGTAGAGGCAACTGGGTCTTAAACAGTAGTGTTGCCCATGCCGTAGAGGCGACTAGGTCTTTCAGCAGTAATGTTGCCCATGCCGTAGAGGCGACTGGGTCTTTCAGCAGTAGTGTGGCCCTTAGGCTTTGGGAGGGACCCGTAGTCCACTCTTGTACTTTGCCCATGCCAGAGAGGCGACTGGGTCTTTCAACAGTATTGTGGCCCTTAGGCTTTAGGAGGGACCNGCCCATGCCAGAGAGGCGACTGGGTCTTTCAACAGTATTGTGGCCCTTAGGCTTTAGGAGGGACCCGTAGTCCACTCTTGTACTTTGCCCATGCCGGAGAGGCGACTGGGTCTTTCAGCAGTATTGTGGCCCTTAGGTTTTGGAAGGGACCCGTAGTCCACTCTTGAGCTTTGCCCATGCCGTAGAGGCGAGTGGGTCTTATTGTAGCATCGAGGTCTCTGCCTGTGAGGTGCCGAGCTGGACTGATGAGCTTTGTTGCTCTTTAGAGACCTACAAGGAACTAAATGTAGAGGACCCGGGGTGGCTAACCCGACGAGGTCACTCCGATGGCTAAGTTAGTACTCTCATAGTAGACTGTGAGCTAGAAATCACAATCTGAGAGCTAGAGCTTGTTTACTTGTTTCTGAGGCTGGTGCCTTTTTAGTTCGTAAGTTCGTGCCTGGGCCAGGCCGCCAGGTCGACGCTCGTGCCAGGTCGTGCCAGGCCGTGCGCAGGCCGCACCAGGCCGCCGGGTGGGCGTCTTAGAGCTACTTAGTTTGTTAGCTCCCTACACGGTCTTTGAGTTCATAAAAAATGGAAACTATAAAAGCGAGAGCTTCAGTTTCAAAAAAGGTGAGGACTTAGCTTTCTGGGAGAAGAGGACTTAGCTTTTTGTAAGATAAGAACTTAGCTTTTGTAGGATGAGAACTTGGCTTTTCGTAGTGTGTTCCCACAGACGACGCCAAATGATGCGACCGTTTCCGGTCACGTATCATTTTTTTCGTGATGTGTCAATTTTTTGGCTAAGTACCTCGTCATCTCGTCTGCTCCCAGTGGCCAGTGACTCAGGGGCTGAAGTGGAGCTCCCTGGTGACGAGCCGCCTGGTGGCGAGCTACCTTGATGAGTTGCTTGGAGGTGAGCTACCTTGATGAGTTGCCTGGTGGTGAGCCACCTTGATGAGCTACTTGGAGGTGAGCTACCTTGAGCTTTGTTGCTCTTTTAGAGGCCTGCAAGGAACCAAATGTCAGAGGACCCGGGGTGGCTAACCCGGCGAGGTCACTCCGATGGCTAAGCTAGCACTTAGTAAAGAGAGCTTGAAGAATGATATTAGAGAAATAGAGAGCTAGAGAGTAGGGGTTACCACCTCTTCCTTCAACCTCTTTTCGCATACCTTTGCCCTTGGGAGGTGAGGTCTTTATATACTGGAGTCCTCGTGGGCCAGGCTGCCAGCTCGTGCCAGGGCCAGGTCGCGCCAGTGCCAGGCCACGCCTGTGCCAGGCTGCCTGATGGGACACCATCAACTTACCAAAGGCAAGTTGTCGTCTGGGCGTCACCTAGTTGTTCTGAGGTGCCAGGCTACACAATGGCGAGCTGCCTAGTGGTGAGCTGCCTGTGTGTTGCATGTGGCGAACTGCCTAGTGGCGAGCTGCCTGTGGCGAGCTGCCTAGTGGCGAGCTGCCTGTGGCGAGCTGCCTAGTGGCGAGCTGCCTGTGAGTGTTGCATGATGGCGAGCTGCCTAGTGGCGAGCTGCCTGCGAAGTGCTGCATGGTGGCGAGCTGCCTAGTGGCGAGCTGCTTGTGAGTGCTGCATTTAGTTGGCATGAGGTGTCAAGTGTCACAATGTCATTGGAGGGCCAAATCCGCCCTCATCAAAAACTATTAAAAATTTTGATGCAGCAGCCATCTAAGGCCATGTCTGGTTTGAAGGAAAAGGTAGGGAAAGGAAGGGAAAGGTAGGAAATAGTGATCATAAGCTGGCTGAAGCAAGAGGACAAGATCCCGTGATAGTTCAAAAATGAGTTTAGAAAATTCAAAAGATTTTCAAAAACACGCTGATGGTTTGGCAGTGGGTACCCAGATCAGCAAACTGCATTGCCGATCATTTAGCCAAGCAAGGGGTTAATAGAGGGAATAGCTTTGGGGCTTCTTTGTAATATAAGACTACTCTCTGATGCTGTTCTTGTCTTCTGGGGTAGCGGAGGCTACTCAAGTTGTAATTTTATTATCTAATCAATAAAGCTTTGTTCTTGTTGCTGATAAAAAAAGGTAGGAAAAACCATACAATCCTTGTACGGGTTTGTACAGCATACAAGCCAACCATGGTTAAATATGTCCTCTAATGATACTATTTATCACCTCAAAAAGGACAGAACAAAAAAACGTTTGGTTTTAAACAGGCAAGAAATCTCATAAATGATAAAATAAGTTTGTGTGTAGAAGGACCAACATTGTAAGTACATGCAATTACAGAGAAAAAAGACCACTCAGCATGCATGCTTATGTAGATGGAGACAGTCTTACCATCTTTGAAGCATTTCTGCCTTTCAATGTCATCATTGCTGCTTCAGCAAAAGCTTGGGCTGCTTCTGCATCGGCTTCTGCTGCCTCTGCCTCCCTTGCTGCCTCCTCAGCTTCTGCAATGGCTGCCTCTGCTTCTGCAACAGCTCGAGCTGCAGCTATAGCAGCCTCCTCTGCTGTCATACTTCTCATCTTAGATAGATCTGCATCAATTTGGGATTTGGAAAATAATTTGATATCATCCTTTTCATCTCTTGAAGAATCCCTCTGCCTTCCCTCCAGGAGTAGCACCCCGGAGCTTCTTCTTCTGTCTGAGAAAGCTGACCTTGGAGCAATCCTGTACTTACGCTTTACCTATCACGACAATAGCAACTCTTGGGTTATGAATTCCATCCCACTGCTTTTCTGAAAGCAATACTTTAAAAAAGGGTGGACACATGAAGCAGGTGTTAGGATCTTCTAACATGAAAGGCATAAGCCTCAAGATCTGAGATTTAAACCAAATTACATCTAAACCTTTCAAGAAAACATGAAAATAAATGACAAAGTATAAAACTATGCACAAAAGTACCATATTAAAAAAAATCTGAAAACATTTTTGAAAATCCGTCAAAATTTAGATCTTAATGAAAAAGAAAAAAAAAACACTGTTAAAAAATACTGAAGATATAAACAAATTACAAATATCCCCTCACCCCAAGGGAAAAACTTAGAATTAGTCCCCTGAGAGTCAGCAGACAGCAGATCAAAAGAGAACCATGATCCATAATATTATCTACTGGAAAGGCAAATGCTATCCTTGCCAAAAGAAAACGAAAAGAATTTTCCGAATTTCCCATCAAACAAACTAATGGGACAACCAAGGAACAAGTGATACCACAAATTCCTATGACTTTTGGATTAGAATGCCTCCATTATTTAGTTGGTTGATTGTGAAAATTTTATATTCCTAACAATCCCAAATACAATCAGCATCCATAGAACTCTGAAGCCCCCTATCCAGAGCCATATAGAAAGATTGCAAGACAAAAAGGTTCCTTCCAATGATCTCATTTCTTTAATCAGGCCAATGATCTCACAATCTCTCTATAAAAAGTGGTCTTGTAAAAAGTGAGGGGCCAAAAAAAATTCTGCTTCTTTGGAAGAAAAATCATTATTAGCCTCCCAACTTGAGAAAGGCTTTGTAAAATAGGGGAAAAGAAGGCTGAATCCAAACCACTCCAATTATTCTCCTAGAATTTAAGTGTTTGGCCATCTCCCTCTTTGGAGCCTGTAAGAGTAGCATATTCTTTATACTTTTTCATGCTACCTATCAAAAGGGGCAATTGCTTGATGTAATAATAAAACTCAGGCTGACAAACATGAGCCTCCAGTTTAAAGTCTGAGAGCAGCCACCAAGAACACAGATAGCTGGGACTAACATTGGGTAATGGCCTTTGTTTATGATGCTTCTTGAAACTAACACGATAGGATAAAGAAACAGGTTCTGAAGTCCAAACACAGTTTTGCCATATCTGGCAGCAATGGTCCTCCCCCATAAAGCCTTCTTTTCTCTATGGAATCTTCAAAGCCATTTCCCTAGAAGAGCCTTTTATTCATAAGATCCATCATTCTCAAGCCCAAACCACAAAGAGGCCTAAGGCGACAAACCCACTTCCACTTAAAGGGCCAATATCCAATGTTGATTCCGGACAACCAGGGTCTTGGGAGAGGTGGACTGGATAAGAACCTAACCTCCAACATTTTTTGCATGAAGTGGCTGCTCTCAGACTTGAGCCCTCATTCTCTGACAAACCCACTTCCACTAAACCAGAGAAAATCATCTTTTATCCCCTCTACCATTCCTCAAGACTATATTTTTTTACAACCTCTTAGCAACTGAGGCCATGTGACCATATATCTTGAACTTGGCAAAAGGTGAGAGAGAGAGTGATGCAAAGGAACTCACATCATAGATGACTTTGTACTATGTGACTATATATCTTGAGCTGCTTCTCATGAATTCCCCCAGTGGTTCAGCGGAATGCAAAATCTAAAAGAAGTAAATAGGATTCTTTTTTATACAATCAGATTTGTCTCTGCTATATGAAAGAATGATGCAGTGAATAATAGCCATCTGTTGGATGGGAAGCCCTCAGGTTCAACTGTTAAATCCCCTAGTCCATATCAGTCCTATAACCTACCTTGAATTGATATTTCTCTGAGTGACGTAAGTTGCTGGAAACTAGGAATTTTCTACATACCTAACTGCTTGGAAAAGGGAGAAACATTAGGGATCATGCATAGGTTCTTAAGCTAAAAATCAAGGGTTGAGAAATAAAAAGTGCAAGTCCTTTGGGTCCCAACCATGTTCTCACATGGAAGATTCTTGGATCAAATTTGTGACTGTATAACATAAACGGAAAAGCCTATAGCACTTCTGCCGATCTCTATGATAGTACATGATAGAACATTTGGTAGGATTTGTCTTCTGATTATTGGGAAAAAATGATGATTGAGGGAGGGGCCAGCTCTATGGAGCTGCTGGTTGTATCTCTTAAATTAACTTCTTTTAATTTATTAAAATGTTTTGTAGCCAGTCTGGTCCAGCTTTCTTCTTTTCAAAGTATCTCTTAACATGGAAGCTAATTTGTCCAAACCACACCATCCATCAGATTAGTAACCCTTTGATTCACCATGTAGACAGTGCCCTTGTTATGTTATGCCTATATCCTATCATGTACAGTACTTTGGTCTGTAAGTGGAACACAACAATATCTTTTTTCTATAAAAGAAACTAGTTAAACAGTTCCACTCTCTTTAGCTGATTGGCTTGGGCTTCTAATGTTAAATTGTTCCATATAAAGCAAACACAAGGAGGCAAAATGCATGGTCCACTTGGACCTTTCTCTCCCAGACAAAAAGTTTGGGCTCACTATTCAACAATCTAGCAGCACATTTTAGTGAAGGCTTTTTCTTTCTTCAACATGTGGGGTGGGAAATGCACATGCACCAAATAATGCTAAACCAACTCTAATTGGAGATTGTTTTAAATTTTAATGAGGTGGTTTTCCAGTGTTTTCCATCCTTAAAAATTGAGAAAAAATTGATGCCTCTAGCAAGTATACTTCCTCACATTAATTGCCCATCAAGATGCTTGAAGGGGTGCTTCCAGCATCTAGTTGATGTTTCATGGTCACTATTATCCTCACCTCTTAGGCACCCCTTTAAACTTTTTACAAAAAAAAGGTCCTCAGAATTTCATTGTCATTTTAAGGCTTTCAACTAATCTTCCCAATAAAGCAGTCACTGTTTTCAATGAACATGATGGGATACTGCCCACCACAGAGGTCCCTTCAAGGGGGACCTAACCTCCTAAAGAAAGGGGATAAGGAAGAAGATAATGAATGAGACTAATCTCTTATTGCATGCTATTTATAGCTTATATAAGGATCCATGTATGGCATGCATGGTCGATGTTCACAACTGACGTGGCTTCCTAGTGTATAATTGTGTATATAGCGAATTGGAGGGCAACCAGCTTCATGTCCATGGCCAGCTGATGCTGGCAGGGGCTGGACACTAACTCGGGCAGTATTTGGAGTGCAGGCTGAGGTATGGGCTAGAGGCCTATCAGAACAAGACAAACCATATCAACCAGCATGTTTTATCATGTTTAGGTTGACCCCCTCTTTCCAATAATGTCATTGTTTCTAATGTTATCCTTCCTATTCTTGCCACTCCATCACAGCATCTTAACTCACCTATGCCCATTCTATGTGCCTGTCTTGATTGCCCAATGTTCTGTCCCACAGCAAGTAGCTGATCTGATCTTATGGTGCTCCATGAAATTCTCCCATCAGTTTGAAAACTACTCACACATTACACAACAGATCAACATATTAAAAGTTAAAAAGAAACTGGGCAACATTTGGGATTTGTACAATTTATATCTTTTCTCCATATAGTTAGCAAAAACATGTCAGGTGAACGATACACATATTAACATACATGGAATTGCTGTTGCTTAGAACCTGCTCAAACCAAGGGTTGTTGTATTTGATTGACAATCAAGATACTGTATAACTTTTCACGTACATTCACAAATCACAAGAAACTAATTCTGAGACTGCATTGCTGTCAACCATCTAAAGAAGCCCCAGAGTTAAAATAGTGCCCAAGCAAACATTTCCCCACTCATGATGGCCAATCAATTTCACTAGAATCACTCAGAATTCTGGTGCCTTAATTACCTTAATCAATTTCCCACTTGCTGTCAAAAACTTCAATTTCGCTGACAATAGCCTTTTGAAGTTTGGAGGTGCCCAGCACTGGTCCTATGTAAGGAAAAACAAGAAAAGTTAGAAATACCAAACATAATGAAGATGATAAGCAACATTTCATCTTTTCAAAGAACTAGAAAATGTGCATGTGCTTTGCATGTGGCAGTTTTAGATGATGATGATGATAATAACTAGTAAGAATATGTGTCCAAGTTTTTCCACAATTTTGTATATTTCTGTGTATAAAAGTATTTCTTATTTATCACACTCATTTTTGTTTAATGTGATGAATATATAATATTAGCAACGTGCCCAAATGTTTTCTACAAGGTTTCTGTACTTTTCATTTGTTTCTGTATTTTTATCTTTTTAATTTTTATTATTTAATTATGACATCAAGGGTTAACACATTTGACCGAAAATGTTGAATTATTGATCTGCCACTCAAACAGAATAAAACAATTTCATTTTTGGGTCGGTTTTAAATTTTGTATTTCATTTCCAATGTCAATATTCAACAAAAACAATTATTGGTTATCACACTATTTTTTCTTTAATACGATTAATATAAAATATTAGAGATGTGTCCAAACGTTTTCTACAAAAGTTCTGTATTTTTTTATTTTTTATGTTTGTATCTTTTCTTTTATTTTTATTATATAATTATGCATAAATTGTTAACACATTGGACCCAAAAGGTTGAGTTACTGCCTTTCACTGAACAGGAAAACAATTTCATTTTTGGGTCGCTTTTAAATTTTGTATTTCATTTCCATCAACAATAAAAGTAATTCTTGTTTATCACACTTATTTTTCTTTAATATGGTTAATAAAAATATGTTGAATGTGCCCAAATTTTTCTATAGTTTCTTTTTTATTTTTTCAATTTTTGTATTTATTTCTAAAAAGTCTTGTTATTTAACTATGACATCATGGGTTGACCCATTTGACCCAGATGGTTGAATTTCTTACCCACTACCTGATGGAAGAATAGTTTTGTTCTTGGGTCAGTTTTAAAAAACATGCATTTTAAAACCTAACTTTTTTACTTGCTCCTCCTTTACTTGCTAGTTTTGTTCTTGGCCTCTTTACTTTCTCCTCCTTTAAACACCTAGCTTCTTCTAACACTCAAGGAGTGAACTTCCTAGTGAAATAAATTTGGAGTAAGCCTATCCCTTCTAAAATTCAAGCTTTCTAGTGGCAAATTGTTCTTGGTAAGGTAAATACTTGTGATATGTGGCAGAAAAGAAAGCTGTCTGCCTGCCTTTCTCCTCACTTGTGCTTCTTGTGTAGGGGCAGTGGTAAGATCCTTTCTCATTTACTAATCTCTTGTTCCTTTGTGACTAAAATCTGGGAATTCTTCAGTTCTTTGACTTCTTTCTTTGGGTGTAGGTGGGACTCCCCTCATGATGTGGTGGGTCTGTTCAATCCTAATTTCTTGAGGCAATCAAAGAAAAGGGGAAAACGTTGTGGAAATCCACAAAGGCAGCAGTTTGTTGGGTGGTGTGGGAAGAGAGAAATAATAGAATATTCTTGGAGAAGAGCAGGACTCTAGAGGAAGTGATTGATGGTATAAAGATAAAGGTAACCTTTTGGGTTAAGACTTTAGACATCTTCAACTCCTCAATAACTGACTTTTCAAGGGCTTGGGCTGAAACAGCACAATCTTCAAGAGTACAGAACAGAGTCAGATTGGATTGGAAACCCCCAACAGACAATAGAGTAAAATTGAATTTTGATGGGAGCTTCCTTGGCAACCCGGGTATGGCTGGAATAGGAGGGGTCTTCAGATATCCAGAGAAGAAAATTATGGCAATGTTCTCAGGGCCAATTGGGTGGGGAAATTCCTTGAAGGCTGAACTGATGGCCCTATTGCAAGTTCTTAGACTAGCTAAACAGTTGGGACTCAGAATGGTTGAGGCAGAAGGAGACTCATAGGTTGTTACATCTTGGGCAAAATTCAACAGGCATATTCCTTGGACCCTTCAGCATCTGCTGAAAGAAGCGGAAAAGATTGCAAGAGAAATAAAGGTTGAATTCAAATGGGTTAGGAGTGCAAACGGGTTAGCTGACTCATTAGCCAAACAAGGGGTTATGAGACAGCATTTATTTTGGGCATCCTTGTAACTTGGGCTTGCAAGAGGGGATTGACACTTCGCTGATAAAAAAACATGCATTTTATATTGTTTAAAGTATTGAATTTAGATTTTGTTAGTAGAATTTATTGGTTAGAAAAAAAACCATAAATATAGGATTTAATGGGAGAGAGTGGGAGTTAATACCTAAATATAAAACTTAATGAGAGAGAATTGAATGAGGTGAAAAGTAGTAGTTCAAATGCCCTCAAAATTAGAGAGGGGCCAAATTCAAAGATAGGGGTATTTTAATCCAAAAGAAAATTGTCACATCATTTGTACTTTAATAATAGAACATTGGTTATGGCCTTCCTGAGATGGGGATCCATAGTAAGCTTGACCAAATGCTAAAATGAAAAAGAAAGAGGGGGAGACTGATTTACATGTAATGTGAAAATATCAGCAGTTTGACTAGTTCAACATTTATTTCCGCAGAAAATTTTAGATTTTCAAGTTACATATTCACAGAAGTACCTCAATATATAAAGCAATAGAAGTCTTGTTAGAACCACTAGGCTCCTTCAAATTGGTTATAGCTTCCAATATAAGATTGTCCAACCTACAATCACGAAAGGGAAGTCTAACATATCAAGCGCTGACTCGAATGCATACAAGTTACAAAATGCATTTGAACAATGAAGAATCATGTGGTATGGCAAAATTATTTCATAGATAAATATAACATTCTTCACAAAAATCAACATTAAATGGATAATGTGGGAAAGATGTCCTATATAACACATCAAGTGACCATGAATCCATACAAGTCAAAGAAATGTGTACAAGAAGTAACCACCATGAGTAGACTCATAACTGAAATAGATAAAACTGATTGTACCATAGCATCCTCTTAATATTCACAGTAATGTGAACATTAATACTAAAACATACACCTTGAATAGGAAAAAAGAAAAATGGTATGCATAATTTATAGTGAAGCAGTAGCCTGTATGATGACGTACAATGAATGTAATCCTGCAACACTTCCAAGTAAATCTAGAACTGCAAACAGAATGCATGAAAAGAATCTATTGCAGGTATTGTTCATTATTTTACTAAAGGAAAGGTGTAAAAAAGAAGTCAGAGAATCATAAGAACATTATTGGATGTCTTCTTCCTACCCTTTTCTTTATGGGTAAAATTGTTTCTGGGAGTAATTAGGGTGCTTTAAGCAGTGCTTTCTCTGTGCTTTCTTTTGGCATCTCCTTATTCTCTCTCTTCTTTTGATATTCTAATGTCACTTTTGCCCCCCACAGGGGCAGGGTGCTATATGCTAGACCTAGTTAGCGGGTTAGCAGTGTTAGCGACAGGGTGCACATGGACCTCACTGGCAATGTGGAGAACCTGCCTATCTGCAGGTTAAAACCAGCACCTCCTTGTTATGATAGATGCCCTACAACCAACACAACCATAAGTGGATTAGCTCCTTACACAGTTTCTCACTGTAAGTTCTTTCATGCTGTGGCCAATGGGAGAAGGAAGAATTTGATAGCTAAGTTGGAGATTGATGGAGTGGAAGTAAACTCTCAAGATGAGATAGCTAGTTGCTTTGTTGTTCACTTCAAATCGATTTTGCAAAGGCCACTAGATAGTCGAGTGAGAGTGGATGATTTGGATTGGCCAAGATTGAATGAAACAGATTTGGCTTGGCTAGAAAGGAATTTTGAGGAAGAGGGAGATCAGAAGAGCTATTTTTTCTATGGATAGATCTAAGGCTCCAGGACTTGATGGCTTCACTATGGATTTTTATCAAGATTGTTGGGATATAATTAAGGAAGAACTAATAGAACTCTTTAGAGAATTTGAGGACAATCATGTGATTAGTCTTGGAGTGAATACCACTCTTATAGCTCTGGTTCCCAAAAAGGTTGATGCTAAACATCCCAAAGATTTTAGGTCGACCAGTTTGGTGACTAGTATCTATAAGATCTTGGCAAAAATGCTCTCTTTGAGGATCAAAGCAGTTCTTTCTCCTCTTATCAGTCAAGCCCCAAGGAGCCTTTGTACAAGGTAGACATATTATAGATCATATCCTTATTGCAAATGAATGCGTGGAGAAGATGAGGAGATCAGGTAATCGGGGTTTCATATGCAAATTGGATCTGAAAAATGCTTACGATTTAGTGGATTGGAGCTTCCTACTAGAGGTCTTAAGGAAATGTGGTTTTGGGGATAAATGGTGTAATTGGGTAAGTGGCTACCTAAAATCTTGTCACTACTCAGTTTTAGTCAATGGAGTGGTAAAAGATTTCTTTCCAGCTGGTAGAGGCCTAAGACAAGGTGATCCACTCTCACCCTTCCTCTTTACCTGTGTTGTAGACGTGCTTAGTAGATTGATCACAATAGCAGATGGGGAAGATTTAATAAGGGGTTGGAGATTAGGCAGAAGGAGCATTCCAACGACCCACCTCCAATTTGCTGATGATATAATAATCTTTTGTGAAGGGAATGAATTGAGAAGGGTAAGGAACCTTAAGAATCTAATAAATCTCTTTGAAAGTGTCCAATTTGAAGATCAATTTTGGAAAAAGTTGTGTGGTTGGATTAAATTTGGAGGATAGGGAGGTAGTCTATTGAAGGTTGCATAGATTGTTCCACATTTGAGTGGCCTTTGACCTATTTAGGTCTTCCCCTAGGTGCTAACCCTAAAGAGAGTCGGTTTTGGGTTCCTATTGTGGAAAAATTTGAAAAACGGTTGGCGGCTTGGAAAAAGAATTACATCTCTATAGGGGGCAGAGTGACTTTGATTAGGGCTACTCTTGCAAACCTTCCAGCCTACTTCCTATCAGTCTTTAGGATTCCTACAAGGGAGGCTAAGAAATTAGAAAAGGCAATGATAAATTTCTTGTGGGAACCGGGGGGAGTGAAAAAGGACCACTTGATTAGATGGTAAGTACTTAGTCGAAGCAAGGAAGAAGGGGGCCTGGGGATAGGGAACTTAGTTCGTAGGGATGAAGCTCTACTAGGACAGCAGTTGTGGAGATGGCCCTTGGAGAGGGAGATGTTATGGCATGAGGTGGTGGCTAGCATTCATGGTTGCTCAGAGGATGGTTGGGATGCTGGCCTGCTGGGGTATCTCGTCAAGCAACTCTCTCAACACCTTGGAAGGTTATACACAACATTCTCCCCGGTTTCCTCAGTTTGGTCAGGTATGAAGCTTGCTCTGGTTCTTTAGTTCTTTTTTGGGAAGACACTTGGGTGGGTAACCAACCCTCAAAGATCTCTTACCCTCTCTCTACTCTCTTTCACTTTACAAAAAAGAGACAGTAGCTAAGTTTCTTCCTAACCCGGTTTCTCCTTTATCTTTGTCTTGGGATTTTGGCTTTCGTAGGGGGTTAAGGGATGAAGAATCCTCTTGTGTTTCTGAGTTACTAATATTACTTGAGTCTATTTGCCTGGATCCTACTAAACCTGACAGAAGAATTTGGACCCCTATTCCAAAAGGCTCCTTTACTTGTGCCTCTTTCTTCAAATCCCTTTGCTTCAATTCTACCCCTAGGGAATTTCCTGTTAAAGAAATTTGGGCTAGACTGATCCCCCCTAAAATTGCTATCTTTTGTTGGGAAGTGTACCATGGTAAGATCAATACTTTGGAAAATCTGCAAAAGAAGAAACCTTACTTATGTCTTTCTCCTAACTGGTGTTTTCTTTGTAAATCTCAAAATGAGGATTGTTACCACTTACTAATATCTTGTCCTTTTTCTATAGCTTTATGGAATTGGACTTTTGGTTTGTTTGGATGTAGGTGGAACCTGCCATCTGATGTAAGTTTGTTGTTTAATTCTTCTTATTTCGGGTGGCACACACGAAGAGGGAGAATTATGTGAGAATGTATCAGAGCAGCTCTTGTGTGAACTATTTGGGAAGAAAAGAATACAAGAATATTCCTAGAAAAGGAAAGGAATCTCCCTGAAGTGCAGAATTGCATATTGACAAAGGCAATCCATTGGCTTAAAACTTTGGACTTCTTTGTTGATTTTTCCTTTGATGATATTTGGAGGAATTGGCTAACAGTGGCTAATACTTCTTCTAGGAGGCTTAGAAGAGTGGTAGAATGGACACCTCCTTCAAAGGGTGTCATTAAGCTGAACTTTGATGGGAGTAGTCAGGGTAATCTAGGACCTTCAGGTATAGGAGGGGTCCTAAGAAATAAGGATAGCAATGAGGACCAGTGGGAGTAGGTGACTCCATAAGAGCAGAGATACTAGCTGCTGTACAAGGGATTCAGATTGCAAACCAGATTGGGGTGGATCATCTTTTAATTGAAGGTAACTCACAGGTGGTGGTGGGATGGCTCCTGAACCCACATTCTGCCATTTGGAGTTATAGAGACCTTAAAAAAGTGAATTGGCTGACTAGAAACATGACTGTTAGTGTCCAATGGGTGAGCAGATCGGCAAATGCTATAGCTGATTCATTAGCCAAACAAGGGGTTTCTCGGGAGAGTCTTTTTTGGACTACCTTGTAGCTTTTTCAAAATATTTTTAAGAATTTTCTTTTGGCTTTTCTGAAGAGGTCGCACCTCGTGCCTCTTCTTGGGTCGCTTGTATCTCCTATGTTCTGTGATTAATAAATTTCTTCATTTATAAAAAAAAAAAAAGATTTATAGTACTATTTAAGCCTCTTCAGCTACCTTGGTGGTGCCCTATTTTTGTTTTAATAAAATACCTTCTTTCAAAAAATTCATTGGATCATGTTTACTATAAATTGAAAGAGGAGAACATTATCAGGCTTAATACCATTCCTTCAGCTGGAAGGTTCCAATGTTGGTCCAAATTGACAAGTCATGGTATGGGGAAATAAAAACTCTACCAGTGGATTAGAATATTGTCAAAATCCAGAAGGTTGTGTTTGTAATTGTAGCTTTCAGGGTGGGATTCAAAGAGGAGAATTTTGACGACAACTTTTGTTTGTTGATATTAGATAGAGGGGTGGAATAAAAAACTGATTAATTTTCAAGGTCCAAATTCCACCAATTTGAGAATAATATGAAATCATTAAGAGTGTGGAGGGAGGGAAAACACAATTATTTTGGTATCTGTTTTTTGGCAGTTTCGAAATTTTTAAAGAGTAACCATTATGGAATCCTTATCATGAAAGGAGCCCATAAATTTGTATTATTTCTAGATATTCTCATGCTGCACAAAGAATCCTTCCCCTCCCCCCCCCCTTCCGTATTGCAATTCATGCAGGTATAAGTTCTCACCTTTGATGTCTAGATATCCCCTTGCAAAGGGCCATGAATAAAGGGACAAAAAGATTCACTCAATACAAGCACATGAGACTCATGGAAACCAATAAGAAATACTGGTAGGATATCAATTAGGAAAATAAAAGAAAACCCAACCAAAATTTTACTATTTATGTCCCAAAAATAAGACAAAAATATCAATGATGTTGAGAGGTGTGAATAGAAACCTAAGGAGCAATGAATTATAATCCAACAGGTGAAGTGAACCAGAGGCAAGGGAAAGAGAAATCAGACCTTTTACCACTAAGAATGAGAAGCCTGGTTTCCAGATATGACATAAGACACATTCTAACTTTGAAAAGGGTAAACATTCTTTTAAACAAATGCTGAAATAAACGTGAACCTTGCCTTATAACCATGTCACTAGGTCAAAACTCAAAACAAAGGCTGGTCATGGCTGAGAATTATTACATTTTTAAGAGTCCCAAGCCCAAGGCATAGCCTCATGCAGTTGAGAAAATCAGGGCTGAACTGTTTGTTGGGGGCCCAAATGTTAGCCCCCTACACATCATGCCACTACCCTGCAGTAGGCAACAGTTGACATTGTGTAAATTTTTAATCAGTATTAGCAATATATAATAATGTAAACTGAGAGGAAGATGTAGTAGAGAAGCAAGGAATAGGTAAATTATTTTAATAAATTGTATCAAGGTGAAGCCTATTACAGTGCCTGCATGGCAAGGCATTTTCTGAGGGTGCCCTTATATCATGCCACTTTTGCATACATGTTTGGTGCCCTCTTAGGCAAGGAAAATGGCAAAATGGATAGCTTATCTGTTAGACAGTTTTGTATGCCCTTAGCTTCAATCAGAATGATGTACTTTATGAGTTTATTGTAAATGAATAAAGATACATATTTGATTCA